CACAAAGGGGATGGTAACAGAACCGCCCGCGACCGCGGACGGTTGTCTCGGGGCGCGGGACGGACTTTAAGTCCACAAAAAAAAAAATAAATGAAAAAAAAAATTATAAATTTTTTTAATTTATATATATATCGTGGTTTAACGTTGACTTCATTAGATAGATTCCCAGTGCAAAGTGTAACTGTATCACGAGAAATAATTTATTTGATTTTGCGGATACAATAATAGGTTACACGTACAAAGTCACAGATGACGGGAAACGCTAAGTGTAAAGAGGGAGGCGAGACAAAGACTTTCCCGCCCGAGGCGAGGGGCCTCTTCCTGTGTTTGTCGGACGGGTCCCCTGCGGCGCGCTTGCGCTGTTGCTTGCATCGCACGCGTAAGAATTTTTATCGATGTCTACCACTTCTTCCATGGCGCCAAAAACTTTGATGTCATAAGCTTAACGCTTGTCTTTTGTTGTTACTTTGCGGTCGTCTTTCTTAATCAGGATTAACTCAACCCACTTTTTTTTCTGTCCTCTACACCAACCACATAAGTCATTTAATCGGTCCTATTAACTACAAGACAGATGTGGGTCCCCGGCCCCCTTCATCCCACCGACTCCCACGACGTCTTTCTCTTACACTCTCTCCCAACCCTGTCTACTTCTTTGCACTGAGCCAGTTGCTCAAACACACAAGCCTGTTTACAGTTGTCGGTGAAATGCCGCTCCTCTGTCATAACAGTCAAAGCATGAGACTGAAGTTCCCACTGTGGGTCAAAATAATGCGCTGTGATGTGCTGTCGACACGTCGGATGCGATCCGAATTATAATAATAATAATATATTTAATTTGTTAGCGCTTTAACAGGTGCTCAAAGACACTTTACAGATATAGTGAAGAGAAAAGAAAAGAAAGGAACAACAAATAAATATATAGTTAAAGTTAAAGTCAAATAATACAAAATCAATCACACATTAACGCATTCATTTGTATCTGATGTATCTAATTAACAGCCCCTCGTCCTCCACAATGTTAAACTGTAGCCCCCCATTTAGCTATTGCTGTTGTTGTCCAGGCGTAAAAAGGGCTGTTTAAAACACTTTTCTTTTAATCCATATCTCTCGCTAGAATCTCCCACCATCCAACTAACAACAACAACAACAACGTCAAGCCTTTGGGCTCTGAAACTACGGGGCGGGCCGAGGACAAATACACATGCGTTAATCGCACGTTAAAATAATTAGTGGCGTTAAAAAAAATTGACAGCCCTAAAAAAAACGTCTCTTTTATTATCTAACTTATTCTCTATTTGGTATTTGGGACTTGGCTAGTGTGCCGGTGGTACATAACATGATTCACAAACACAGATCATGTAATTGGAATTTATCTTTCTTGGTTCATTCAGGTTTCATGCACATGTCGTCGTATTTCTGGAGAAGTGACACCGTTTCGGGTAATTGATTCCCTCTACAGAAATGGCTCTCAGCCTCGATGGAGTAACGGTGCAGAAGGGAAAATATTACAGCACAAAACTTCCAGCAACAAAGTGATTAAATCAAGCTGCAGGCCCAGCTCCAGTTCAAAGAGTCGATATAAGGACATGAAGGTAGAAGATACACACAGAGAGCGATGGTGGCTCTCTCCATTACACAGTGGTGTGCCCTGCGGTCATTATTTCCCTCCCTGGGGGTGCAGACTATTAAAGCCTGCAGGTTCCTTTTTTGTTATACACTTCACAAACCTGCAGCACCCACATTACTGCAACGGTTTATTGCTTCTCTGCACTGCAGTACACATCACATGCCTGTGGGAATAGACGGACAGGTATGTGTATGTGGCGGCATAAATATCTTCCAGTGATTGTCTCTATCTCACTTCGAAAGATGCTGTGCCACATGTGAGCCGTATGCAGCCTCCCCATAAAAGCTTCCAATACCCCATACTGCTGAAGATAAGTCTTGGCAGCGGAATTGGAAAGGCTGGCTGAAAGCGCTTCAGGCTGCTTCTCTCAGATAAATGCCCAGTGTATGGCTAGCATGTCTGTTGCTAGGCTGATATCCATATTTAAGTTATTTTTGAAAGATGTCAGAACAGTGAAATCTTTTAGCATTTTCTCATAATATACTGAGCAACCCTTTTATGTTTTTTGGGGGGATTTTCCCTTTCTTGTAGTTGTTTATATAGGTTTGTGTGCATGTAAATGGTCTGCAAAGGCTACAATCCCAAAGTTCCCTCAATAGGGAGTTTCCCCCCTGCCTGAAACATCTCCATTGGACTCCTTCCTTTACTGCTGTAAAATAGTGACATCACTATGTAACATTTAGGCTTCTAGTAGCTAGCGCTTCAACACATTGATACGTGATAGGCTAAGGGGCGAGGCTTTCCCGACACATCTCTAAGCGGTTGACCAATCACAACAGACCCAGCCAGCTAACCAATCAGAGCAAACTGGGCTCTGGTTTCAGACAGAGGGTGAAAAGAGATGCTTTTTGAACATTAAAGCATGGGAACATGTCACGGTCGAGGCAGAAAATACAAACATTTACCTGAAAATGTGTAAAATAAGTCGCCTTTTAAAGAGATCAATTCAAAATACAAGAGTGGGAGATTTAACCATACTAAAAATGTCTGAAACACAGATTGTGTACAGCTTCTCAGGTGTTGTATTAGCGTGACCTTGGGTGGCTGCTAATGCAAACTGACGGAAAAAAACATCTGAATACATCATATTAACGGGAGCCCTAATCTACATGATCCACAACATTCATATCTCTTTCCTTTCAGCCCTTGGAACGTGGTCCAGAGGTTTGCGAGCACATTCGACAGCAGCCAGATAAACAATATAATGGAATGAATCTAAACACATAATCGGCTATCCCCCAATGTTTGAAGTCGGGCTGAGATATCGGCTCCCGTGTGTGTTTTTGTGTGTTCATTGCCGTTTGATTACCTGCTACACAGTCCGACCTGAGATATCCTCAGTCCTGCAGCTGAGACAAGGCTATCCCTCATTACGCCCCGCTCTGCCAACCTGGCTACGGAGATAAGAGGGAACAACACCGGCCCCTCTGTTTCTATCACTGTTTACACACACAGAGCCACGTTGCCACAGAGAGTCATTTAACAACGACTCTTAGTGATCATTTTCCCTTTTTTGTTGACCTGATATCCTTCTCCGTGCCGTGTTTATGCCAAGGTTTCACAGCTGTGTATCTTTTTTTATCGACTTCTTAAACTCATCCAGGGTTAATGGTGCCCGTAATCTACATAAGTTATCCTTATATATGGGCCATTCTCAATGATTTCTCCTCTCCTTTTGAGATTGCAGATGGTTAGGGGTTGGTTTTTCATGCTGACGGGGATATGGTGTTCTGATGCTGTGATATCTGGATTAAGGTTTATTCAGCCTGACTTTATTCAAATCCTCTGGCAGACATCGGGGAGTTGGGCTTTGCGGCAGTCGACCACACTTTGAGTCCAGGCAGATATTAAAGATCTTTTTCTTCCAACAGTAACCGTAAAGTTTGAGCATATTACAGCAGAAATAAAGCAACTCTTTTCAAAAAAGTTCTGACTTTTATGATGTTTTAAACTCTTTAAGGCTCTCTGGTGATTTAGTTTCCAACTTCTGGAACTTAATTTTGTCCCTAAACAATATTATAAAAGTGCCTGCACACTTCTGGTTCAAAGCAATATGGTCCTATTGAATATTCCGTGTGAAAGAAAGCCAAGGCATTTCCACAAATTGTGATATAGTGTTTCTATTAATGTGATAGCTGTTATAAAGGCAGCCCTAGGTCAGATCAAAGACTTTGAAATGGTGCAACATGAGCTGGCAGACGCATGCAGGAGGACTTGTTGCCAACTTTTAGCTGAATGCAGCCAAACAGTTTAGGACTGCTGTAATATTTGGCTGCAGCTCCACTGTTCAGCTGTGGATGATTGACACTGGGGGAGGTTTGAAAAACATAGCCACCAATCGTATGCTGATAGGAGTTTGGAATTCTTTGCTACACGCTTAAAAGCTGCAATCGATAAGGGATGCATGATAATATTGCAACCCAGTCTCACGGAATTTCGTGTTATAGTCACGAAATTAATTTAATCTATTGATTCGTGTTCACCAACACGATTTTCGCAGTTTAAAAGCAATGTATTTCTATTGGTAGTATGTTTCGTGCCTGCACCACGTCTTTTTGTCCGCTGGGGTCTTGGAAGACTGGAAGCTATGTGGTTCATAAAAACATTTTCTTACTCAATATCTTACCCTAACCCTAACCCTTTTATTTTAAATAGTATAATGTCTGAGTTCCTTCTAATTTGTTATTATTTGGTGCAGGCACGAAAGATACCAATATAAATACATTGCTTCTAAAATTGTTCTGTGTGACACGAAAAAAATGGGGAAATCGTGTTGGTGAACACGAATCAATAGATTAATTTCGTAACGATAACACGAAATGCCGTGAGACTGGGTTGAATATTGAAACATGTTTGGTATCCACTTATAAAGGCTCTTAAATGAAATACTGACATCAGTTTTGCATGCATAACATTGGTTGATATATTGGTGCTTTGCGCGTGTGATCCAAACCATTGATTAAGCATTTATTAGACTTTAAGGTGGGTTCTATTTTTTTCGCTAAGGACTGAAGATGCTTATATTTAGTGTATTTAGGTGAAATGTGCAGGAAAGATTGAGCTTATTATTTAGTTGTGGCTTCTTTTTACAATTTTAAGGATTTTACAGCCACATACTGTAATGAACTATTTTTAAATAAGTCATTCGGTTAATATATTATTTAATTTGAGAAACATTCTGTAAACAATACTCATACTGTACACATAAAGAACAACACAAAAAGTTGGAACATTTCGTCAAATCAGATATCAGCAAAAATCCAACAATCTTTACAATCAACCTTAAATAATCAATTTTCCTCAAATTCCTCTTTACAAACTGTTTTTTTTTCATGTCCTGGATTTTTAATATTTCTGTTTTCTTGCTCCACAGTTCTTGTCAATGGGCAAAATCAGCCAGAACAAAGCCGCCAAACTGAAATCCAGCTACAGGCTACTCTGTGAAACTCTCAAGAGGTACATTTTGTGCTTGAGTGAATTTTGTGTGTTACATTTTGGAAGAAGTTGCTGATTTGTGTGTTATATTTCGGAGGCGCATTATGACTTCAAAGCTGCTGAAAATACAGCAAAAAGACGGTTTAAATCTTCTGAGAGCCAGAATCTTTCCCTCTGAAGTGTCCTTGAAGAAGTCTTAAATCCCTATCAGTTGTTTTTTTACTGTTAATAAAGAGTGGGAATAGTATCTGTGACAAGACGCTGGCTTCTGAAGGGACATTGTGATTGGGGTCACCTTTCACTCAAGGTATAGTCTAGCCAGAAATCCTTATTTGAGCAAAAAGTGGAACGCAAGGTTATACGACCTGAGGCAGTATCGCTATGAATGCATGATATGGATTTTGTTCAGCAGATAACAGATAATTATCTGCCTCTCATGGCTGATCACATAACTGATAAATTCACATTTATTCACAACCAAGGGTAAAAAGGCTAATAGGCAGTGCTTGTTAAGTCGATGGAAGGAATGTGGCTTTGCATTAGCGTACAATAATTTATCATCTGTCATTTCCTTATCAAAAGAATATATAATAATGCCCCCTTGTAATATTATACCACGACTTTATGTAGTAGGGAAATACTCCAAAACACACTTCTTTCTTAAGCTTAATCAAATCCCTAATGAAACACTGATTCTCAGAGTCGCCACAAAGGAACATAAAGACGAAGTTAAATTAACATTTGAGACCCCAATTTATTGTGGAAACAACAAATCTCTGTGTGATTTCTTGGGAAAATAAGAAACCAATCTAAATGTATGTCTACATGCATTTAGTAACAAAGCTATTCTGAGAAATTGGATTCAGACAAGTGTTAACAAGTAGTTGTGTTGTTTTATGATTTGCCATGAAACTAATGTGTTAATGGATTCATTTATAATGGTTGGTTAGTTTCCTCAAGTATCATGAATTACAGGGTCTTGTTCTCATGTAATAATAATAATGATAATCAACATACATTTTATTTATAAAGGCGCCTTTCAAGGCTCTCAAGGTCGCCGCACACAAAACAAAAGTCCAAAAAAACACGACAATATAATCAATCAATCAATCAGTCAATCAATAAAAACAGAAAAGCAGAGGATGTGTGATGTGATCAGGGTGGATATGCCAGTGTGAAGAAATATGTTTTGAGACTTAATTGTTCATGTATAAAATAAAGACGTAACATTGATTTAATCTGCTTTACTGTACCAGTGTTTTGTTACGGTGGCCGACAGAGGCAACGTCCCAAAACACATTAGAAGAAACGTTCCACATGGTACTTGTTTACTACTTAAATAATCTGTTTAATCTAATAGTTCCCAGGATTCCGAGCTCCACGTTTTGGGAGAGGCAAAGCGATGCCGTGCGGAGCTTCAGAGGCTGCAGGCCGGGCTGGAGAGAGCCGAGGAGCAGAGCACCTCTGAGCAGCCTGAAAGTGAGGTCAATGAACTGAGGCAACACCTCCTGCAGGCATGCAATGAACTGAAAGCTGCTGAGGACAGAGAGTACAAGACACAGCACCGCCTCAGATGGTGAGCACTGTGTGTGTGTGTATGCACACACGTACACACGCTATTACTGCAACCGCTCATGCTGCAAGTTTCATTTTCGGTACGACATTGAAACCGAATGTCAGGTAAAAAATTATATTTGACTTGACAAAACACAGAAGTGAAACCAGTGTGGTGGAAAAGAGAAGCAGGAGGATGCTTGCATTGACTTTAAAGGGAGGTGAAGGTGAAAGAGACTCAACTTGCAAGTGTGTGTGTGTGTGTGTGTGTGTGTGTGTGTGTGTGTGTGTGTGTGTGTGTGTGTGTGTGTGTGTGTGTAGCTGGCTGAAGAGGAGCAGTGGAACCAGTTGCCTAATGGAGAGTACACCACGGCTGAATCCCGTAGCAACGCCTACTTTAGCCCGACATTTAAAAAATATTTACCATTACCTTAATGTTGTTTCTCTTTTGGTAGCCACATTTTTGAAAGATTTAGGACAAACTCAAGTACACAGAGCTTGATTCACATGCCAGGGTTTTTTTAGTTGTATGTGGATGAATGTGTTTACTTGTCTGAGCTCTCACACTGATACGTTTTTTCCACACTAGTCCTGCTGGATCTTTCTCTGTTCCTTTCCTCTCATCCTTTCCTTCAACTCCCATGAGTCTCTCCTCTCATCATAACCTTTTTTTTCCCTTCTTTTCTGCTGCAGGTTTATCTTTTCCTTCCCCTTACTCACTCAACGAGGATATCAGTGCGACCAAAGGGTCAAACACACCCACAGAAACGGAAAATAACAAATGGACCTGAGTATCTCTCTCTTTTCTGTACACAAACCCGACTTTGAAAAGGGCCAAAGGGAGGTTACTGGAACATTGCTAAGCAACACGATAACATGCACGAGTGGTTCCCAAACAGTTGGGCTTCTGACACCCGAAGCCCTCGTTAAAGACTTATAGAGCAATTTTGACTTCTTGGATTCTCAAGTCAATTTCAACAGGCCTGTGAGAATATCATAAAAGCGTGCTGCACAAAAAATTGTAGGTACAAAGTTTCTAAATGTATTAAATATTAAAGAGCAGTTGGTATAAACATTTAAAGCTTTTTTTAAATGTTTACTTCTGTAACCTAGTTCATCTCTATGTAACACTCGCGCTTCTATTGGCTAGCGCTCCAACACATTGTACGTGATGGGGCGGGACATCTCTAAGGAGTTGACCAATCACAACAGAGCCGGCCTGCTGACCAATCAGAGCAGTTTGGGCTCTGGTTTCAGACAGAGGGGGAAAAGAGGTGCTGCAGCACAGACAGTATGAGAACAATAAAGAGCTTCTTGAACATTAAAACATGTAAACATGTCACAGTAGAGGTATAAAATAAAAATATGAACCTGAAAATGAACAGGATATATCCTCTTTAACTATCAGTTTATGTGTAGCAATGGGAGCAATTTGCATGGAAGTTGAAGAAGCAAGTGTGAGCACTAAAAATAGTTGAACCCTAATATTCTAAAAGCTCCTTATTTACGCAACAGCCTAATTTACATCTAAGCAGATCTCTTTTTCTTATCTGTGCGTCGCCTGGATTACTTCTGCAATATGAAAGCCCTCAAAGCCCAACAAACCCCTCACAGTATTGCAAAGATATGATCTGTATGATAACGGGATTTTTAGTGCAGAGCACACACACTGAAGCAGAGAGTTGAAGGCCCAGCGGTAATTGAAATATTAAATGAAACCATTTACAGAGCGTCCTCAGAGGAGGCAATAATAGACAGGATTAGACGAGTGAGTGTGCATATTATTCGTGGCAGCGTTTTGGTGGTGAACTCTCTTGTCCTCTCATCATCTTTCCCCCTTTCCTTCTCTTCTTTTTCACTTTCTTATCTTCTGTCCAAATGGCCGGCGATTCGCATATGACCAGCAGATGCTCGCCATGCAAATATGCCTTTAAAAATCTTAGCGTCCTTTATCTTAAGCCAAACAGATACTCAGGAATTCAGCACTTTTCCAGTCACATATTTTAGCATTCATGCAGCTTTCTCTGTACATCAGTTAATATCCAATAAATCAACTTGTCAGGAAGATTAATATTGCACACTTCGTGATACGTGTATAGCTGTACACTATGTGCTATTGTAAGGTTTTTTCCCAATGTGATATTTCCATACAAATTGCAATCAACTGCCTAAAAAAAGTGTCTGCCGGCTGCCGCAGGGATAAATGTAAATAGTTTGACCATGCAGATTTATTCCTTGTCATTTATGATTATTTATAGGCAGATTCTATTTGCACCCGGGTGTCTGGAGCTAACAATGCTATTTACACCCAGGTGTCCGTAGCTAACAATGCTATTTACACCCGGGTGTCCGTAGCTAACAATGCTATTTACACCCGGGTGTCTGTAGCTAACAATGCTATTTACACCCAGGTGTCTGTAGNATTGGTATTTATTATTTTGATATTTATTTAAATATATCATTTATTTTTGTATTGGTTTTTCAGTTGAATTATACGTTCAGGGTAATCAACAGTTAAAAAGATACTGTTCAAATTATTATTTGTTTTAAAGTTCAATAAATGGATGTTTTCAAAGTCAATGAATAATCATATTTAATAATCGTGATATCAATGTGTATCAAATAAGAAAGGTCTTAAATATGATTTAGAAGGTCTTAAAAATGATCGGATTTGAAAGGTATTTCTGTGTTGCGATAGCGTCTAAATGTGTTTTGGGGGAAATGTCTGGGCTGCAAAGTAACCAGTACGGTAATAGCCTTTCAGTTCCCCCCAACAATTTGTATTGAATTAAATCAACATGGAACCAGTAATCACTAACTTTGTTTCCCCCGGCCCCTTATTGGAGAACACCCAGCTAGTAACCAAGCTTCAGCTTGCGGCAGTCAGAAATTACAAATGAATATGGGGAAGTGTCAGTTCAACCATATTTGGTTGGAAAACATCAAATTTAATGCTTGGTTGAAACCAGTGGAGGGGAACGTGTTTGAAGCCCGCCGCACTATTTGCAAAAGAGATAAGCGTTTGTTTTGCTAATGTAGCGTTAGCTCGTGTAGCGTTAGCTAGTGCAGCAGCTCCCGCAAAAACACCGGGGGACCTCCGGGCGACGTTTGGGTCTACGTCAACCCTAAAAGCGGAGGTGCTGTAGACGCTAAATACCGTAGCTAAACACCAATCATACAACAGCAACGATGAAATAGTGTAGCTAATTTAATTTAAGGGGTAATTTCTCAAAATGTTCCCCGTGTGGTTTATTCACCATTACAATAGCCCCACCTAAAATAATTTCCACCAGCCGCCACTGAATGAGAGTTTAGAATGTAAGGGCGGTAACACGAGCAATTTGTCTAAACATTTAGCAAAAGTGCACCACAATCACACGGAGAAATACATGGTTTGTATATAGTACAAAATAAATTATATATATTTGATGACGAAAGCCGGTAGGATGCCGGGTGCATTCAGGGCGCCGCCATTACTGTTTACACTGCGTGGAATGGTGCTCTGTCATAGGTTGAGCTGTGTGGAATGGTGCGCTGTGATTGGTTGAGCAGATGTATCGCATTCTGTAGAGAAGGGAGACTGGCGTTTGTTGCTGTTTGGAAAGAAAGTGAAAAAACAGGACAGAATAACAAGGCGGATATTGCGTTTTGCGTAAAATTTAATATTGACATTTCAATACCGACGAAATATAATACTGATTTCGGCGGGAACACATTTTTTTCAAAAGTGGCGTTTGTTGCGTTTTGTAACCAAACTCTTCATTTGAAGTGCTGATTTCATGTATAAAGCTTTGAAAAAAATTAAATTGATAAAAAAAACAGGGGCGGAGCTTATGCCTGCTCATGCGGGAGATTCTACCGGCAGATACTGCTGTGATGAAATGCCATATCATGGATTATCAAGGATTATTTCTGAAACAGTATGGAGCTCAAAGGCTTTCTCTCTTGCCGGTTATACCACAAGGTGAGTTCCTGTTTATTTCCTGCTTCTTCACACGCATGCTCTCCAGTACAGGTTAGCTCTGAGTGTTAGCATGCTAATGTAAACACCGACCATATTACATCCAAAACAGTCGGGCATTGTTTCTGATAGCAACGTTTCTGATAGTGCTGTGGGTCCGCCGCCGATATGACGTCAAACCGCCGCAAATCTGGATCAGCTCCATTGTACCCCCGTTTTTAGAGATTTGGGTAGGAAGGAAAAGAGAGAGGGTTTTATTTTCTAACGCTGCCTGAGTTCCCTGACACACCGGGGACACATTTATGTATAAAAGACATACAAATTTGCATTTTGCCTGATTGCAAGTTTGACAGCAGTGAAAGCGACCAAACCAAAATGATGGGGTAGTCTTTTCTAAGGAACACACTTCTGGGTCATTGCCTCCCATTACCCCTAGATTAGACATGATTGGTGCAGAGACACAAGCTCAGGGCTCCCGCTAGTTCAGCATAACGGTGAGGTGTATTTTTATGAACATTTTTTTTGTTTTTAGGCCGGTCGTATCATTTATTATTTCATCCTACTTACTTTCGTCCCACACCTTGAAGGCCAGTCCCTGAAAATATTGTCCAACATGAAATGTGATGCAAAAAAGTTGGGGGGTGCTGATTTAGAGTGTCTGGATACCTGACTAATGCAGGTCCAATAGCTAACTCTCCTTCTGTCTGGTATCCGCCTAAATCTGATAATATTGTGAGGCTTTTACACTGCAGGGGCTGTTCAACTGAAACAAGGAGCTGAAAGAGGCTAGAAAGCTCGGAGCTGTGGTAAACTGCAGAGCAGGAAGACACTGCTCGTTACTAAACCTATGCCCTGGTCGGCAGTATACAGGAATGTTTGTTGACTTGAATGAAACCGGAGAGCTTCTGTATAAATGCAACAAAAACCAACACACATTTCCTCCTTATTCATTCATTTATTCAGACACCGTCTCATTTCCTCTGTGTCTCAGGAATAAGTAAGTAGGTTTTATAAGAGAGCTGTGAGATCTCCGCTACTAAATAATCATTGCCTTTTCATGTGATTTCACTTTAGATAATAATGTGTCAGATTTTCAAAGCCTCACCACTCATCTGCAGCCGCACACCTAGCCCTGCAACTTCCTCTGAGGCAAATGTATTATTAACATGACAATAGATCTGTGGTCTCTCACTGACCCGCCTTTCATTAGCATTTATATAGACGCCGGCCGCCACTGCAGACTGCTGTAAAGCTTAATTCAGAGCAGCAAGCTAAGAAGTGACAGGGGAAGGGAAACAGCATGAAACTGAAATCGTCTGATGGAGATGTCATGCTGTCTTGAAAATTATTGTTTGGGCTCTGATGTAACAACTGAAGAGCACTTGGCTTCTCTGCTTTGTTTCATGGAGGCAAATCAAAGGAGAAATAATAACATTGGTATTACCCTCATACACCCTCAATAATGTCAGGGATTCATGCCAGCAGCTGTTGTGTTTGGGTTTAAGAGCTTCTAGAGATTTGGGTTGACATTCAAGTACTTTTTTTTCGCAATACAGACAGGGTAAAGTTATAATAGAAAGACAAAAACAGGAGTCCAGATGATTGTGTGAAAGAGTAACACACAGGAAGTGAGAACACATAAAATAACTTCTTCTGATTTATGTGCTCGTACATGGTTTAAACAAGTATTTTTTCCAGAATCAGAATTCCTTTATTCGTCCAACAATGGGAAACTTACATTATTACAGCAAAGTAAAGATACAGTAGAGAGAAATAAAATAGAACACTACCATATAAAAAGACAAGCACTTAGTATTACAAATAACAAATGTACACATTCAAGTAGGGAGTAAGTAGCGGCAGTATTTATAAAATAAGTGTAGCACTGTAGAATGAAGTGTGGTATTTAACAGTAGTAAAAATATGATTGCACATAGTTACGTAAAGATTATTGTAACAGTAATGGATGGATTCACTAGGAGTAGCAGCTAGTAGTAATAATACCATTAGCAGAACATATTGCACATAAGTGTTGCTGCATTTGAAATGCATAAAGATAATGCTAACCATATCTTAAGAATGCCAAGTCTGAAAAAACTTCAGATTACTTTGAATTACATTATACGTTCAGTGCCAATGGCTAATAATGTGCTAATGATGTACTCCACCTGTACTGCAACCCAGTCTCACGGCATTTTGTGTTATAGTCACGAAATTAATCTATTGATTCGTGTTCACCAACACAATTTCCCCATTTTTTTTCGTGTCACACAGAACAATTTTAAAAGCAATGTAAATAATAACAAATTAGAAAGGAAAAAATATAAAAAAATACAGATTTCAGTATTCTGACACAGAACGATTTTAGAAGCAATGTATTTATATTGGTAGTATGTTTCGTGCCTGCACCAAATAATAACAACTTAGAAGGAAAAAAAGATTGAAAAAATGCAGATTTCAGTATTCTGAGGCTCTGGGCCCCATTTATTTTCCTCGCGGACGGCAAAAAAAGTCAGACATTATTCTATTTAAAATAAAAACAATAATCGTGGCTTGATATTGAGTAAGAACATGTTTTTATGAACCACACAACGTCTTCCAAGAGCCAACCGGACAAAAAGACGAAACATACAATAGAAACACATTTTTTTAAATGGTGTTGGTGAACACGAATCAATAGATTACATTTATTTTCGTGACTATTACATGAAATGCCGTGAGACTAGGTTGGGTGTAATAGCATCTACCTTATTAATATTTAAGCATGAGAAAGCTTGTAAACAATTGTATTATTCATTATGTACGGTGGCCGAGATGTGCAAACGTACTTGTAGAAAGAGGTTTCATAGAACACTTTCGAACCTTCTGACTTCTATGAATCTTTTGTCTTCAATTAAGAAGAATTTAGCATGAAACTGCACACTAGTGTGTTTTTAAATATATAAATGTGGTCGTTTCTCTCATGCATTCCTCTTTCTGTTCAATCAGGAACTGAAACATGTTTTTTTTTTTCCTTCCACTTAATAACTCATCTTCCTCTGCTCTTCACCTCACCCCGTTGCAGTCTCTGGGAAGAGAAGCGGTATCTGCAGAAAGAGATTGAGTTTCAGCCCGAACCTGCAGTAAGTTCATCATTGCACCATCCAGGTGTGTTCTCAGAGACGTGGATTACTGCTGCAACACTGGTCTTACAGGGAGGATAAATATGAGTTTTACTTTAAGCCTCCATCCAGGCTTAATCCTTCAATATTACTAGTGGGACCTTTTGGAGCTAAAATATTCCATAGATGAATCTCCCATTCCGGCAAGATGATGGCATTCAAGTTATAAAAGCTTTAATCCTTGTTCCGCTTGGAGAGGTGATTTTTGTTTTTGTTTAAGAAGACCAATTGAAGTACTAATGGCTAGTACTCATCCAAAAAGCAACTGATATATTCAGTGGTGGAAAGTACATTTACTTGAGTACTGTACTTGCGTATATTTTTGAGGTATACTTTACTTGAGTAGCCAATATTGTACTTTTGACATTGCCACCATTTCTTTTTAGAAATTAGGTTACTAGTTACTTTATTACGGTGGCAAACAGGTGCAAACGCGCTACATCTTCACCAACGTCACGGTTTACTAAAAGCGCAACATTAACCAATCGCTGCAAACACATAACACTGCAAATACAAAACGCTGCAACAAGCTAGTTTGTCGGCCACCGTACTTTATAGATTCAGATTATTAGCTGTTAGGAAAGTATCACTCGACACCAGGTTGAGAATCAATAATCAGGTACTAATTTATTCTTGCAAGAAGAAGCAGAGTTAAGTCACATACAAAGGATATGGGTTAACTCACACACGGGGTATGTTGCTCAACGGAGCAGGAAAAAACATCAGGCTTATATAGTCCAAAACACGGAGATAACAACAAAGTCGTAAATCGAGATGGCGCTAATATCATCCGCAGGTGTCGGAAAGGTGTCGGGGACATCTGCGACGTCTTCTGGAAAGAGTCACATACTTCCTTCACGCCTCATAGAAGTGAGATATTTAGGAGACAACAAGTATGTGTCTTCTCATAAATATCATCAACCTGAAATGCCCTGCCTCCTCCTCATTAGAAGAGGCAGCTGCAAGGTCATACACAGTGCAGAGTCACACATAGTATCCGTGCATTAAAACAACCCATAAAGTGGAGACAACTTGTATTTTCTCCAACATTAGCTAATACAATATATAAATCATATATAATTATGGGTTAAGGCATCCAGCAGCAGGATAATAAGTTATTAAAATCAGCTCCAACTTTACCAGCTGTGATGGTATATTGTATTATTGGAGTAAAGCCCATTAATCATAATCCAGTTTTATACTTTTACTCAAGTAACATTTTGAATGCATGACTTTTACTTGTAACAGAGTATTTTTACAATGTAGTCTTCTCCTATTACGTTAGTAAAATATCTGAGTACCAACTATCGTTATATATTAAAAGTAGGACAGTTGCTGATCAATCAATAAATAAATGAATGTCGAGTATGCTGCAGCTGTAATATACACAATTCTCTGCATGTTATATCAAAAGCTTCACAGTAAAAAGTAAGAATATTCTTTCATTCCAGTGTCAAACTAGAATCCGAATATCTTGTTTGGTGTGATTTCGACACCACCTTGCTCTGGCTGCAGGGCGTATAAATACTGAATTGGGTGTATTATTTAGTTGATCAGAAGTGAACCACAATGCATTGCTGTTTGAGCATTTCTAACACTCGGATGGACGTGAAAATATACAGAAGCTGTTGAATCACCAGCACCTAAACTCAGCAAATCATTTTAGGTTATAATCTCAAGGTTCAATCATTAAGCTGCTTTAAAATGCTGTTGCTAATGGCAAAATTATTTGATCGTGAGCTTTTTAAAGCTTGCAGAATAAATTCCGCAGCCTTTTTTAGAATTTTTAATACTTTAGGGATTCTTTTTTACAACTGGTAAATTAAAGATTGCATAACAAAACCTTCCAAATGTGCTCAAATTCAGCTTGCATGCCTCTGGATGCACTTAAGTCAAGGTGGCTAAGTGGTGACCTTTAACAGACCAAACAAACAGGAATAAATGTAAATAAATTAAGCTGAATCAAGGATAACATGATCATGTATTGTCATATTGCAACACAGGGTAGCACGATAAAATGTAGCCTAGTGAAGAAAAACATGACAAAACAAAAGAGAATAAAATGTAGTGCGCAGATTTTGCGGGGGGGGGGGCGCTGAAATATGTTACAGCATTACTACGTCGAAAACTGTTCCAATACAAATATTTCGTTTATCAATATTTTAATAAGGTAGCACACTGGTTAATAATATTGTAGCATGTTCAAGTAACCAAGGGATATAGTAGTTATCAAATAAGTATAAGATGTGCACAGTTATAAGTTTTACAGTTATGTAATGCACCGTTGTTGGGGGGAGAGTCGAGAGACCGCCCCTTCCATATGAGTGTGTGTGTACGGCGGGCATGAGGCGTGCATGAGGCGTGCATGACGGGACGAGTTGTGTTCGTATGTGGAAAAGTCATACTCAGTGCGGTGAGCGCTGGCTTTATTGCTACTGTATCCGTAGCACCCCACGCAGTAGTTGGGACTGTGTACTGACGTCAGTAAAAAAGGTTTGTCCCCCCAAGCGCAAATGTCAAACTCCGCTTATGCAGTCGCAGCTTTTTTTATGCTCAACATGAATTATCCAGTGGCAATGTAAAGTGGACATTGCATTGCACTTCACATGCACAGCACCATAATATGCATACAAGCAATACTCTACAGCAGCTGTTCCTAACCTTTTTTCAACTCAGGGCCCACATAAGAATCTAACATTTTTTCGCGGCCCACATTCAACCGTAAACAATACGGAGGCTAAATAAAGTTCTGATTGGTCGATTCAGAACATGTGACACGTTGTTAATCCAGTAGTACAGACCGCTGTCAAGGACTGTAATGACCGTTGCTAAGGAGGATCAATAAATAAAAAGGAAAAGAGGTTCAAATGAATACAAATAAAAATAATAATGAAATGTTTCCACACAAATCATAATGTTTTGCAAATTATTTGGCGGCCCACTTGCAATGCGTTCGCCCACAGGTTGGGAACTGCTGCTCTACAGAATAATGGGGGCTGCTGCCTTTACTAGGACAGTTTAGTCATTTCAATCTGTAAATGTCACAGAGTGTACTGTAAGGGGCCTTTTTATGACTCCCATTGTTATTGAAACAACATGCCATTATTGGCATAGTGTGATATTAACTCTAACTCTCTCTCTGTAACACACAAACACACACTTGTCAAACTAGATTCATTAGCTATGTGTTTTATTACAGCAGGGCCCTTACATGCAATTGTTTGCTGTTTGACAGTATAGTAGATGGATGTTGGAGAAAAACCACAAACTAGCGTCAAAGTGCATCTTATTTATCAAGTTGAATTGGTAACAGCTGGTTTAACTGCAGTTGTTTATGTTCATACTTCACTTAAACATTTTTCTAAACAATGTTAAGGGTCAAATCGTTCTTGTGCAGAAAATGATTACAGTTAAAGGGGCCCAATTGCACTCATTTCCAGGTTCATATCAGTATGTTGTGCCTCTACAGTGACATGTCTCCATGCTTTAATGTTCAAAAAGCTCTTTATCTTTCTCATACTGCCTGTGCTGCAGCACCTCTTTTCCCCCTCAAACCAGAGCCCAGTCTGCTCTGATTGGTTAGCTAGCCGGCTCTGTTGTGATTGGTCAACCGCTTAGAGATGTCCCGCCCCTTAGCCTATCACATACAATGTGTTGGAGCTCATTAGAAGTTACATAATGATTACATTATGTTACGGAAATAAACAAAGGAGTCCAATGGAGTCGTTTCAGGCACGAAACTCCCTCTGGAGATAACACAGGAATTTTAGCCTTTGCAGACCATTAACACAACGACCTTTATAATACACTACAAGGAAGGGAAAACTCCTAAGAATAATAGGGCCCCTTCTAAGGTAGCAAACTTAAATACGTTATAGCACTAAACATTTACTTACCCATGGAAACAGCAGAAGAAATATATTTTTCATTTTGACATTATAAAAAACAAAATCCACGTGCGACGCAAAGGCTGTTGGAACCGACTCAGAGTTATGATCAGACGCTAAGAAATGAGAACAAGCCTGTAGCCTGAGCTCAATTAAATTGTCATCATAAGCCAGATATTCTTCATATGTGATGTTACATTAATATTCGTACTGCTGGCTGGTCCTCCAGGAGCTGGAGAGCAGAACAAATGTCCTGCAGGAAAAACATGAGGATCTGAGGAAGGAGGTTTCCGAGAGACGACTGGAAGTCAGGTATTCAAACCATGTTGCCTTCTTTATATCTTCTCAGTTCTACTCACTTAATGTCCTTTTTTTAATGAGACACAGTGCTGCTAATCAAAATTCTTCAGATAACAAGCGTTCTTTTTTTTGTGTGTGCGTGCCCTCACTTAATGCAAAGGAGTCTGACTGAAGATGTGGAAATCCACAAAATGCAGATATTAAGAGAACAGAAAGAGCTGGAAGACAAGACCGAGATCATAGAGCTCAAAGAGGTGTGTGTGTGTGTGTGTGTGTGTGTGTGTGTGTGTGTGTGTGTGTGTGTGTGTGTGTGTGTGTGTGTGTGTGTGTGTGTGTGTGTGTGTGTG